TCATTTTTTCCCCTCCTCTCCCTTAACATCTTGTATGAGAGGGAAAGCACAGGCTTTGTCTCTGTTGGCTCCTTGCTGGAGCTGCTGCTGCTCGAAAGAAGGCGTGATCTGGGAGCTAATGCACTCCAAGCCTATGGAGCTGCCCGGAGCATTGTGCTGCCGGTGGAGGCACAGCGCCCTCTGCCGGCCGCACGGCTCATCACCTTCAATGAAGGCATGAATGAGAATGGAGGGAAACGATCTGCTTTTCAGTAACGCCATGTGGGCGCTATTGATTGCTCAAATAGAAGCCCTAATGGGCCAGGCCGCTCATACTGGCGTACATAATGAGTTGAAATGGCAGACTGTCACTGCACTTCCAAATAGTAGTTGTGAACACGTTTCTCAATGTACTTCACAGGTGTGCCAATGAGGGACACTAGCACACTTGCAATTTTAAAGGTGAAACCATTTCATTATTGGCCACCACTGCGTTTGTCCTTCTTTTTTTTTTTTTTTTCCCATTCATTTTGTATGGACTGCTCAGTGGTGGATAATAAGGGCAAAATGGGTGGTCGCCCAGACTCATTTTCTTTCCAGCAGGTAGTTAAAAGTTCTGTATACTGCTTATAGTAAATCAAATTTTATTTATTGCATGTCTCGTGTTTCCTTAGAGCCATGCATAGTCAACATTGTTTTATCAACGATAACTTAATTCACAAAGTGAACACACCAGGATAGGTTCCTTAGTATTTAAGGTATCTGTTCACTAAGCATATGCATCCCTTGTTTTTAAAGGATGTGTTCCCAAGGCAAACACACAGGTTCCCTAGTTTTTAAAGGCTCTGTTCCCTAAGCAAATGCACCAGGATAACATCCTAGTTTTTAAAGGCTCAGTTCACAAAACTAACGCACTTGGATAGCATCCCTAGTTTTTTAAGGGATGTGTTCACTAAGCACATGCCTTCCTAGTTTTTAAAGGCTCTATTCACACAAACTCACCAAGATAACCATCCCTAGCTTTAAAAAAATGGCAAACATCTTCAGCCGAGTCCAATGAGATTTGATAACTGGCTACATAGCTCAACATAAAGCTTTGTGAATAAAGCCTATTATGTCAGACGCAGGATGCAAATACCCCTGTACAGTTGCCTTTGATAGGGGGACCCATGAATTGAAAGCAGCCCTGTGTTGTTCATTCCCCCCCCAGGTCTTTGTAGTTTGATAGTTAACGTATGTGATGCCAGTGGAAGTGGACATTGTGTAACCACTGGTACCCCCTTAACTGACTTTTTTTGTTTTATCTTTCCCTCTTCTGCAGGAAAATGGGCATGTGAAGGCTAATGGAGATGCATCTCCTGCAGCAGCTGAGGCAGAAAAGGAGGAAGTCCAGGCTAATGGAAGTGCCCCTGCTGAGGAGACGGCAAAAGAGGAGGCAGCAGCGGCCGCCGAGCCTGCTCCGGAGAAAGAATCCGCCGCCTCTGCTGAAGGGGAAAGCGCGGAACCATCCTCCCCAGCCGAAGGAGAGGCATCCCCCAAAATAGAAGAAGCCGGTTCCACTTCTACACCTTCTACCAGCAACGAGACCCCCAAGAAGAAAAAGAAGCGATTCTCCTTTAAAAAATCCTTCAAGCTGAGTGGCTTCTCTTTCAAAAAGAACAAAAAGGAAAACAATGAAGAGGCCGAGGCGGCAGCTGCATCCAGTGAGGGAGCAAAGGAGGATGCTCCTGCCGCTGCTCCAGAAGCAGCCAATGAAGAGGCTAAGCCGGCCCAGGAAGAAGCTCCTGCTGCCAGCAGCACAGAGGAAAAGAAAGAGGAGGCCCCTGTGGCAGCAGCCTCACCTGAGCCCCAGGAGACCAAAACAGAGGAGCCTGCACCAGAAAAGCCCACAGAAGAGGTAAAGCCAGTCGAGGAGCCAAAGTCTGAGGAAAAACCTGCAGAAGAGGCCCCCGCTGCTGCTCCAGAAGCCCCATCCAGTGAACCAGAGGCACCCAAAGCTGAAGAACCAGCAGCTCCTACACAGGAAGCTACATCTGAATCCAGTCCAGCAGCTGAGTCAGCTGAGTAAAGAGATGGCAATTTTGAGATAATCAAAGGACTTTTTTCTCCCCTTGTTTGTTTGTTGGAGTGGTGCCAGGTACTGGTTTTGGAGAACTTGTCTACAACCAGGGATTGATTTAAAGATTATTTTTTTTTTTTCCTTTTTTTTGTCCATTTTTTTTGTTTCTCTCCTCCTTACAGATCCCATCTCAAATCATTCTGTTACCACCATTCCAACAGGCCGTGTTGAGTTTACAGCAGTCGCCGGCCTCAATCCTTTTTTGCATCAGTATTAATGTCTTTGCGTACTTTGCATCTTTTATTGAAAATGTATACTTTTTTTTTCTTTTCTTTTTTTTGTCAATATATGGACATGCCCATAATGAAGGAGATGGGTGGGTCAATAAAGGGGATATCAAAAATGAAGTGATAGGAGCCACATTGGGTTTAGGTGGTGCACACGTTGCCAAGAGAATGTGCCACATGGAATGGGGTCAGATTTGTTTTTTGGTTTTTTTTTTCTTTTAAAAAAAAGAAAGTAATGATTATTTTGTGAGGGCAGCCTTCTACAAGGTTTACAACACTAAAGGTCTTGACTAAGATGGCAAGCAAAAATTTAAAAATAAAATCAATACCCAGATCATAGTTTTAGTAATTCATTTAAACCATAGGAACTTTTCACTTATCTCATGTTAGCTGTATCAGTCGGTGATTAAGTAGAAATACGAGTTGTATAGGCTTTATTGTTTATTGCTGGTTTATGACCTTAATAAAAATTGTAATTATGTATTACCAGCAGGGTGTTTTTAACTGTGACTATTGTATAAAAGGAATCTTGATATCCAAAAGCACATGAAGTTTGCAACTCTTTCCACCCTGCCCATTTTTGTAAAACTGCAGTCATATTGGACCTTTTAAAAACACAAATTTTAAAAACTCAACAAAAGCTGTGATAAGTGGAATGGTTACTGTTTATACTGTGGTATGTTTTTTTGATTACAACAGGCAATGCTTTCTTTTTCCAGTTGTCATTAAGGAAAACTTCAGATGCAATGGTTTTTGTGTAGCATCTTGTCTTTTCATGTTTTGTAAATACTGGAGAAGCTTTGACCAATTTGACTTAGAGATGGAATGTAACTTTGCTTACAAAATTGCTATTAAACTCTTGCTTAGGGTGTTCTAATTTTCTGTGAGCACACTAAAAGCGAAAAATAAATGTGAATAAAATGTAAATGTTTTGTGTTTCTTTGGCATATAGTTAATACTAATCACTTACTGGAATAGTCTCTGTTTTTTTTTCTTTTTAATACTAATTTGCATGTCTTCATCCATGTGTTTGTCTTGTCCATTTAACTATAGTTGCCTTCTTAATCTAATTGGTATTGTGTAGCTGTGTTTTTGGCAGGGATTGTATAGGCAAGTGATGAGATGCAGGTAGATTTGTTTGGCTGCAATCATGTGTAAAAGTAGGTACTGGTTGCAGCCAGTTAGGTGGTCTCACAGGATTGGTTTGGGACGCACTAACCTAAACAAAAGCTGCTCCATCTTTCCTTGGGGTTCCTTTTCAAATGCTTAATCTCACATGTATAATAGGCCTTTGTATAGCTAAAGGAAGTGAGGGTTTTTTTTCATTACTGGAATGCCTCTCCTGAAGAAGACTTCAAAGTTGCTTCAGGGTACAGAAACCCACTTTACATTTCAATGCTTGTACACATTCCAAGTGTAGCAATGAATAAAAACAAAGCATTCTGGGCATATTTTTCACTTCTTTGATTTCAGTGGCTTTCTTTTTCTGTATGGCTACAGTGTGGTCTAAAGTTTTCCACTTATTGCACTGACTGTAACTAGTGGGGACTACTGGGGATCACGTTGGCTGATAGGGTTGGGTTAGATGAGCTGCATTGGTCCTCAGCGACAAATATAGTTTGAAGGGAGGTTGTTGTGGAGCAATTCAGATTGTCTGTCTGAAATGGTCTTTCCACCAAACATTTTAATGTACAGTAACGCTTAAATATTGTAGTCCAGAGCTCATGTATTGTGTGAAAAGCCTAGCTACAGTTGTCTTGTGCAAGGTGTGGGTGAAAACATTGCATACTGGGGTATGTGTAAAATAACTTTTTTCTTTCTCCTCTCGCATCTCAAGTCATGGTTAAGGCTGCAGTTAGCTCCCCAATTTTTCCTTTTGTTCACCTTTTCTGTCAGTTCTTTACCTCGCTTCATAGTAATAAAAAAATGTTATGACCAATCTATGCTCTTGGTAGTCTGACTTTTAAGTTTGCTTTTTACATGGAGCTGGTTGGCTCTTCAGTAACCATGTAAAAGTCTTTCTGGTGTATTTTTATATAGAGATGTTTGTTCTGGGTCACATGTTAATATGTGACTCAAGTTAACCATAATTTGTGGTGGAAAGGACTGGCCACTGTTGCTCTGTGGTGTGAACAGTTCTCTAAGCTGATTAGGAAGACCATAACGAGAGACATTGTTCATGGGAACCAGATGTTCCTTTTTTTATAATACCATTCTTGCAGTTGAAAAACACATGTGGAACCTCTTTGTGATAACATCTCCTCTGGTGATGAGGCGGGGCTTAGTTTGAACCCAGTCCATCTGAGTTTGCCCAAGCCCACCCAAAACTATAATGCTACAACTACCCCCACTGGTTTGTGGTGGTCAGTGTTGAGCGGGCTTGGGTGAACTCAAATGCACAGGGTTTGCAACAAGGCCAGGCTCATTAATAATCCACTTCTCATTTTTATGTATAGGGCAGTAATGATGGGTCATAAACCCTTGCCACTATTATCCTGACTTTAGATACTCCACTGGGCTTACATTTTCCAGTATAAAGCCAGTTAGGTGAGTAACTTTCTGGGGGTATGGACCCTTAGGAGGCATTGTTGCTATGGATTGGTGCATGTCTAAGCTTAGCATGGTTGTAGGTCTTATAAAGTAGACCTTTCATGAAGGACATATGGGAGCTGTCGTTGCTGATATCCTTGTAAACGCTAGTTGATTTTCTGGCATACTTTGAGTCCTTGACCTGGAACAGGTATACAACTGAGGCAAGCTAGCATTTACAGCAAATTTCAGCATAGAAATGTGGTAACAGAAGATTTGTTTGTTGTGTTAAAGTCTTTTGTTAGCGCTCTGTGCTTGTCTTCTCCTCTTTGCTTTAATACTTGGTGAGTCACTGACCTGGACCAAATAGACTAAAAAATGTCAGGACATCTGATATGGGCACATTACTTCTTTGGTTAGAGGCAGTAGAGTAATGATGGGTGGGTGGGAAACTCAAGGTGTTTGTTTTTTTACAAGATGACAATGATGCTCCATATTTGTATGCTGACTTGGTCTTTAAACCTCCTATTCTGCTCAACAGCCCTAAGTGTACAGCAGAATGGTTTTTTGTTTTTCTTTTCACCAACCCCCACCCTGACCCCCTCCCCCAACTTGTTCATTGGCACATGCATGTGTGGACAACAATAGGCATGTCTACAACAGGGGTCACATTGCTGTGCATCCTTTGCTGCTGGTGAATGTAAAGTATTTCCTCTTATCTGCTATCCCTAGTACATTTGGGCGGGGCATGGCAAAACTTTCTTGAATGTCTTGGCCCTCTTTAATAAGTGGACCTGATATTTACATCAAGCAACACAAATGGATTTCTAAAGCAACAGTACTCAGCTAGGTTGCCTGTTTATAGGGGATGTAGGCATTATTTTCATGACGAGAGAACTGGTTTACCACACATACATATATTTAAGTATCCACATCCCAATGAAAGGTTAACATTCTTCGTATCTGCTAATAAGACGTGTGTAAAAAAAACATTGCGTCAGCATTGAGTGGTTGAATCAGGGATGTTAGAAGTTGTTGAGCATTGACTGCATCCATAAATGTAAGTGTGAACTACTTTTTGTTTTCTTCTGAGGCGCTCAGACTTTTTATGATGGAGCACCTTTAAAACCTTTCATGTGAGACCTAAAGGATGTCATAGCTGACCTCTTGTGAACATATTACTTGGTTGGCTGTCATGTAGATCCTCTGGTCTCTCAAATCTGACGCAAGTATGTGGATAAGGAATTCATACTTACTGACCTGAAATGGCAATGTAGATCAAGTGAGTCAAAATATTGGATCCAGTGTGTCCACACACCATCCTGGTGTTGAGTGTTTTCATAAGGAGGTCAGCAGGCAGGCTCTATCTCTTATGAAAGGTTTACTTTAACAGATGCCATGATACCATTCTAAGGATATTGGGCTAATCTGGATAAAACCACAAAAGGTAGGTATATATTTCTTGAAAATTAAATGTTCTTAATCTCATTTATATTTCAACAGACGTTTTGGGTATTTATTGCAGTGAATATCCAAGCCCAGTGACACTCCCATTTATAAAGGCTGAAATGTGAGGAGTAATAAAATTGCAAATCTGTAAAGCAAAGGTTAAATAAAACACAATCGTGCACACTTAAGAAAGGTTCCTTCCTGATGTTCCCAACAGTGAAATCAATTGCAGTACATGTTATATTGGCTTTCTGGCTTCTAGGACTTGGCTAGATCTAGTTTTGTGGCTCTAGCCTATGTAAGAGATTTGTTTTCCCCCTCTTGCTAAACTGAACCTGTCATCGTTGTATAAAGCCAGATTAGTGTTCTTCCTGTGGTTTTCTTTCTTCTGTGTGAAAGCTACACTGACAGTTGTGATTTCTAGCCTAGCAGAAAATCTGCTGAGCTTGGCTTAGTTGAATGTTTCCTAAACACCCTCTCAAATACTGGCCACAGTACATGTTTCCTAATTCCCACCACCGATAAACATGTATAAGAAATGAGTGCTTCTTTTCTTCAAAACACCTGAGTTCCTACCTGGAAGTATGGAAAAGATCTTCAGGAATGAGGTCAGTTGGGTGCTTTCTGCACCCTGTCTCACAGATCTGGCTTATTCGCTCATGATGCTTGGTCGTGCATTTTCCAATGCAGGTAAGTTGCATGGATATTTCGAATATACATTGTTTTTAGGATGGCCTCTTCCCAAATTGCATTTTGTGAAAAAATAGTACTGCATCTTGCAATTTGAAGTGGTCTAACCTGCATCTTTGCTGTTCAAGGCAATTCAATTAAGTTTTTCCAAACCATTTGTCTGAAATGCACTTAAACACTTTCTTTTATCCGCAACAGGCATTTCGTCTGGCCCTCATTAGAGTATATTACACCTTAGGGTAAATTAATTGTACAGCATCTCCAGCTGGCATTTAATTTGCAGTTTATTTTAAACAAAGCAAAGTAATAAAGATGCTAGCACACTACTAGTTGGTCAGCAAAGGAGAGGATCTGTACTTGTGGAACATAACACTAACAATTTGGAAGTAGTATACGAACAGACTACACTATCCAGAGAATTCCAATACTTCAGACTTTTTTGAAATTCACAGCAAATCCAGTATAGCAGTGAATAAAGCAACAAATACCAGCACTTCAGACCCCCAACCAGCTACAACCTCTCACATGTTTCACCCGTAGGCTTATTCATAGAGGTCAGCATGTCATTTGCAGGTTATTTTAAACAAAGCAAAGTAGTAAAGATGCTAGCACACCACTAGTTGTTCACTAAAGGAGAGGATCTGTACTTGTACC